GCAAATCCATCCGGCGGAGTCAGGTTAAAAAACTAAGACGGTTTATTTAAATAACTGGATGCAAACTATCGGTACTTCGACATAACAGGAGGCAGATTTATTGTCTCACTCAAAATGTTTATCATTATACTGAGAGGCTTAAAAGTTTAATCAAATCCAGTCACAACATCTTCAAAAAACTCATCTCGCAACTTTAAAACAAACATCTTATCACAGGCATGGATGAAGAGATGCCAAGTTTGGAGATAGAAACAACCATAGCTCATAAAAACTAATTTTATGTGATCCTAGTTATCCCTGTTACAAAAATCCACAACAAAAAGGAAAATAATTGGGCAGAAACTGCACACATGCTGGATGCTGGTGGGGATATTTTTATTAAATTAAGCGTTAATTTCTGCATGTTTTGCTCCTATGAATTTAATAATAAAATAGCGCATGCTCCCCTTGAGCTCTGAGGAAGTCGGAGCTGAGAAAGACTGGAGGAACAGCACAGCCTTTGCTTTGAACAGGCGGTCTGGAGCACAGCGGCGCGGAGCGGAGCATGTGGGATTTCGGGGTCAGAAGCCTTCTGATGAAAGTGAAACGTTGTTAAATAAAACAAAGAAAATACGTCCTGTTTTGGTCAAAGCTGCTCTGGTCTGATGCTGCCTATCAGGTCGTCCATCTATTGCAGAATATCCTCTCCTGCTTGGTTTCTCACCCTGTGGTCCTCTCTCACCTGCATGTTGGTTCTCTTTCTCCCATCAGCGAAGACGTCTGTAAACGAGGATTCACCGTCATCATCGACATGCGTGGATCAAAGTGGGAGCTGATCAAGCCTCTGCTAAAGACTCTGCAGGAGTATTTCCCAGCAGAAATCTGTGTGGCTCTCATCATAAAACCAGACAACTTCTGGCAGAAGCAGAAGACCAACTTCGGCAGTGCAAAGTTCTCCTTTGAGGTTAGATGGATTAGCTGTTAGTATGCATTAACACAGACACCCTGGTTTTACATGTGTTCATTTTGGTTACAGTAAAAGTGGTTTGGATACAAAAAATCATCTCAATTAAACCTTGATTTGGGTTGAAAATTTAAGCGAGAATGATAAAAAAAGAACAAGTTTTCTCTTACACTATCACAGGAAATGGATTCACTGTTATTTGCTGCAGGCAGTAACCATAGCAACCAACATATAATACAGTTTATCAAGATGAAAGGATGCCTTGCAGACCCTTTGGGCAGCTTACCAGTGGTTGGAAGAGTCGGGTTAAGGTGGACTGTTGCTGTATGCAAAGGTCTCACAGAAGCCTGATGCTGCAGATCAGCGAATACAAGAAGAGTTTGATCCGACACGCTGTGGAAGATACCAATGCCTCTATGTTTACATCCTACTCTGATGTCACAGAGATCTTTAATGATTGTCAAACCACACCTCAAACCTCTGACACGGATTTCTAGATTCAGTAAAATAAGGCCAGTACACACTAAAGCTCATTTTGTGTTCGATCCGACAGAAAATCGTGTCGGTCGAGGTCGTGGCATTTAGCGCTCACAGAAAGTCAATGGGGATGATCACATCCGACACGAATTTACCTAAGGTGGCTGCGTAGGTCTGACTGAGATAGACCCCAGGTCTATTTTAGACTACGCAGCAATTCAGCACAAGTTTTGGGGGTCTGACAGGAAGATAGACGCAATTATAAAGTAAAACACATACGCTATGGGGGAAAATTCAAAATAAAATCTGTTCATCGCATGGGTATATAGTAAGCAGCAAAGACTGATGTAAAAACAGGGAATGAAACATTAAAAAAGAAAACTTTACCCATGATAGGAGTTCAGGAGGACAGAATATGGATAAAATATTGATCCTCTTTGAGACGTATCACCCTCCAAAAAAATAAAAAAACAATCCACTGGACTTTGATCCAGGTTCAAAGACGTTAGAAGACGAAGCTTTTCCAATTCAAATGTCTGAAATAGCGTTTAGATGCTTTATACAGTAGCCCAACAAAGCATTGTTTTTGCTGAGACCCCTTTGGAACGTGGGCTGTTGGGCTTAGCTCTCTCACCTCTTCATAAAAAAAGAAAGAAAACGTTGGATAAACTTCCCAGATCTCTCTGAGAATCACCTCTCTGCCTCATTCAGTATAGAAACCGTCCCACGGTGTTTATTACTGCGTTTTTCTTTTCTTTAGACGTAGATCTCATTATGTTTTTAATAAATGAACATTCTCTATCTGTTCTGGTTCTAGATGCTGAACAGACTCGTTATCAGAGATGGGAAGTAACGAAGTACAAATACTTTGTTACTGTACTCAAGTAGATTTTTCTGATAGTTTTACTTTACTTTACTACTTATTTTTATGGCGACTTTTTACTTCTACTNAGCTGGATGACTGAGAATCTTCACCAGCATCCTTAGTAATAGAGGTGTAAGCATATTTTTACTACACATATACCCTGCAGTTCAGACTAGGACTTAGCTGAGACTGGAACAGCTTCCCTTTTGAGGTCAAAGGTCGCTTAGTTTTAGAGGCAGAAAAGAAGGTGATTTCTATAGAGCGGCTCGATGAAAACAAAGCTCACCATAAACGATCAGCTGCTGGAGGAAATCAGTGCTGGTTTAAACTGGTTTACTGAAAGCTCAGCTTTCCAACCATCACTTTGGATCGTGAACATTTTTCATTTTTAAGTCCTCCTCTACTTCAACATTTTCAGCCTTCATTTCTGCAGAGCTGCTCTGCTGGGAAAAGCCTTTTATTCATCTGTGGATGAATCATCCTCGTCGGCTCGTCAGTCAAACTTGTCACTTAGTGCTTTCTAATGAGTAGTGTGTCATTGTGGGTTTTTGTTTTGCTGGTTCCAATTTTCTTCTGCATCTTTAGCTTTTGTCTCCTTACTCTAATTACAGAGAGAAACATTTTAGAAACCTTTTGTTAAATGCCACATGGAAAACTGACAGCAAAGAAGGACATTTATCTACTGTTAATCGGCTGAAACCACAGAAAAGTAAACTGATTCATCATTATGTGTTTCTGACTGAAAAGAGAAACAGTTTCTCCCCACTTAAACACAAACAAACTCTTTGAATGTATTGGATGTCATTTAAAGGAAAGTGTTTCATCCATATATGAAAGAATAGCAGAGGACCTGTGATGCTGCGGGCCAGTGCCCTCAGTGGAGCTTTGTTAATGTGCAGTGTGACATTCCTAAACATCTCAGCAGATTTGATCTTATTAGAATCTTCTGGCGTCTGTCACAAATGTGGAAATCAGTGGCGAGACCAAAACAAGAAGACAAAAAATACACTTTTTCAATGAACACCTCAATATGTACACATAAATCTTTTGGGTTTGTGACTTTTGGTAAAACAAAAGAGGGCATATTAATCGCAGCAGGATGTGTATAACTGTGCACTAAACCATTTGTTAAAACCAAAATTTTCTTACTTTTTTTCTTCACACAGAATAAACAATAAGATGAAAGATTGAATTTTTAAGTAGTTTCATTGCGAAACACATAAAATGTATTATTTCAGTGCATGTTGCACATCTTTACCTGGAATGCTGAACATGTCTGTTAGCATCCATTAGCTTAAACATCTGAGGTTGGTCCGAGAGTTTTCTGATCTTAACCCTGCTGTTTGGTTTAGCCTCTGGCCCCCAGGTTCCACATACTCCGTTACCAATGAGAGCTGTTCCACATCCACCGCCACTCCTACGAACGTCACCGTCCACGTACGTCTTCTCCGCTCCGGTCCGGCCAGGTCAAAATCTGCAATTGCAAATCGGAACCAAACAGGAAAAAGAACAGCGAGAAGATCCGGTTTGTCAAATTAAATATAGTAATGATGGATTGTTAACTAAAAATTAGAGAATTCATATATATTCCTGAAAACTAGTAGCC